AAGAACTTATTACTAACAACTGTCAGTAACAAAAGCAAAAAGTAAGCACACACGTTCTGTCAAATGTTTAAAATTTAAATAGTATAGGCCATGAATTGAAGTCATCCTACATCCTTATCAAAAATCATTTGAATATGGAAGCATCAAACACATTAGAAACAAGAGGTGCATCTCCAAACATAGTCAATAAAACCACATTTTTTGTTTAAAATTACGTTTCGGCTGAAATATCCATGTTGATCCATCCCAATACACACAATTTCTGGGTGTCATCTCCAAAATAAGGATGCTCCCAAAATTATAATAGCAATTAGATATGGGACATATCATAACCAGTGCCAATATGAAGTCCGGAAGTTAGCACTTATTTCATAGTTTTGCTCCTAAACTATTCCATGTTACATCACCTCATGAAGTCTAAGTGTTGTGCTTATGCAACAAAATACTCAAATAATCAAACAATTATGTTAACGGGCATATGCTATATCAGTACCCCATGTCAAAACCTAAACATGTTAGATAGGTTTCTAGGATCAAGAAAAGAAACACCTGTAAATCAAAAGACTTTATGTGGTGTTCATTAGGCTTCTAGGAGCATGAACAAGAAATACCTGTAGACCAAAAGACTTCATATGATGTTCATTCTGAAGCTCCCGCATGCGACCACTCACAGCTAGAAGGGCTTTGGAAGGAACACAGCCCCTATTTACACATGTACCTCCAACAACGTCCCCTTCAATGATAGCAGTTTTCAAGCCCTGCAAAGAATTTTAAGTAATTATGTACACTATCAGGTAGAAAACTAAAAGGAACCATCCTATTAAACCTACGTTCCCATCCCATCCAGGCTTTGACGATCTCACAATTGAATTGCATAGTGTTATAGAAGTGAAAGTGATGTTTTATAGGAGTTCACACCAATGTTATAAAGGCTCACTTAAAGTGCACTTAATCCCAGAAGCTCAGTGAAGTCCAGCATGTTCTGCTTTCCTCGCTTAATTGGCGCTTTAGTGTAGGCATCAATCTGTTGAGGCCTCTACACCTTCATTAACGGGTTTAGGCACAACACCATATATAGCTTAATTATATTTTTTCCATTTTTTGTCCAGATAATTATGATGTGTTTATATTTACATTTCTACATTTTATTTTTCTCTCTTGTGCTTTTCTTTGTTAAGCCCACGCTTAAAGATCCAATTTTCAACAAATGATTCTTCATTAGTAACAATGCAGTAATAAAGAAAATAAAGCACATATTCCAGCTAATAATTCCTCCTATTGTTAGGTAGAAAATGTTAGTTCTAGAAAAAGAAAAGCATATGGAGTACGGACAAATAAAGAAAGGCAGCTAAATAAGTAATATCAACCGAAACAGAGCAAGATATCTTAGAATTCAACTTATTGAAATCACCTGAGTGTTAGCAGTTTGAAGTATTCAGCAACTAAACACAGCATGGTACTATTGGGTGAACATCAGTATCAGCTTGTACTAAACAATTAAACGACACAAAAGTAGATTTACCTTCTCGACGGCATGAAGAGCAGCACCATGACCACCAACACCAGCTCCAATAATAACCAGATCATAATCAAAGCCCTTAGAAGCAGCTCCATTTCCAGCCGAAGAAGCCACGATTCTGTTGGAACGAGGACGCCTCGTAGCATTAGATAGTGACTGGATACGATGCGTAGACAGAGAAGAATTCAACCCAAAAGCCTCCCTTCTAAGACCGCAGAATCGAAGTGATCGTGGATTCAACAGATTAACATTGGCATTGGAAACGGCGGCGGAGGAGTCCGATCTGCAGATCGTGGATGGAGAAGAGAGCGATAGAGAAATTGAAGATTGCATTGTGAATGTTAGGGTTTTTGTGGAGATTGAAATGTGGGAGCAGGGGAAGAAGGAGGAGATATATAGTGTTTGAGCTTTGAGAGCTCCGTTGGAGGTGGCGGAGTTAACTAAGTGAGAGTTCCCTTGTAGCTTTTCTGTGTTGTGTTCTCTTTTGTTGGTTGGATGAACCAACTACTTATTCCTCCGATTAATTTGAAAACAAAAAAAATCACAAAAAGATGGACCCAATTTTATAAATTTTGGATTTATCATTTTTTGTGAGCAAAAAAAAAATGTGTGCGAAACAATTTATAAAAAAGAGAAAAGGTCTCGCCTTAACTTTGTTATTTAGAACGAATATATTTTTATTATAGAAAAAGCATAAATATACTCTCGAACTATCGTAAATGATATGCAGATACTCTCCGTCATACTTTTGGACATTGGCCGTCCTAAAACTAGAGCATATATATCATTTATACTACAGACTTACACGTGTCATAATTTTATCCACCGATCCAACATTTATTAAATATCGGATCGACTGATAAGATTGTTCCACGTGTCCCTATTTAGTCTTCCGTTAGAGTGAAGGGCATATGCTCTAGTTTTTGAACGATAAGGGCACGTATGTCCCAAAAGTATGACGGAAGGTATATGCATACCATTTATAATAGTTCGGGGTATATTTGTCCTTTTACCTTTTTTATTATGAAAGTAACTCATATATATATATACTAAACATCGGAGCCCTGTAGTACTAAAAAATTTTTGAGATTCAATCAATTTTTTTTGTCTTTAAAATATTCTATTGTTAATTACTGTAAATTATTGTACTTTGTAAGTAATTTTTAAATAATATATATTATTTCATTTGTCCCAATTTATGTGTCACCGGTAAAATTTGAAGAGTCAATCAGATCTTTTATATATTTTTATATCTTTTAAATATTTAAGTAATTAATTATCGTGATTCATAATATTTTTATACAATTATTTAGTATAGTAAAATAAATTTAAAAGAAACAACAAAACGAATTCATCATAGGAAAATTACCAAAGCATCCTTGAATACATCAATAATGGGTCCCACTTTTTGTTTAAAAAAATATGCATATTGGGAGGATATTTTTGTCCAAAGTGGAAATAGAATAAGTATAAAGCATTAAAGTCTTTTAAAATTTTAAATTGTTAATTCTTATTGTATGATTTGTAATACTTTTACGCCATTTTCAAATAATAGAGGTCATTTCTTCTTTCTCAATTTATGTAGTACTAAAAAAAATTTGAGATTCAATCATTTTTTTTTGTCTTTGAAATATTTCTAGTTGTTAATTACTGTAATTTATAGTACTTTCTAAGAATTTTTTAAATAATATATATTATTTCATTTATCCCAATTATGTGTCACCGGTAAAATTTGAAGAGTCAATCAGATCTTTTATATATTTTTATATCTTTTAAATATTTAAGTAATTAATTACCGTGATTCATAATATTTTATACAATTATTTAGTATAGTAAAATAAATTTAAAAGAAACAAACAAAACGAATTCATCATAGGAAATTACCAAAACATCCTTCAATACATCAATAATGGGTCCGACTTATTGTTTTTAAGAAATTGCACATTCGAAGGATATTTTTGTCCAAAGTAGAAATATTGTGTAAAAAAATGTGTATTTATTGTGATTTTAAATGTTTTGTGGGGTAATATGACGCACGCAAAGTTAAGGTGTCTTTTTGAAAAATCTGGAACAACTTCAAGTATCACTTAATGTTTTTTTCGCAAAAATCTAATTTACTTCGTAAAACTATGTGTCAGATCAAAATCAGATTAACAAATTCAAAAGGAATGAGTAATAAATAGCTCATACAATGACATATTTATAATTTAAAAGAAGTTACTCTTTTTTGGTTGAAAAGCTAACAAGATAGTTACTACTATTTCTATTCCTATTTGTTTTCCTATTCCTATCTTGTTAGCTTTTGGTTGAAAACTAACAAGATAGTTACAATGATAGTTGCATTGTGGCTTATAATATATAGAATATATATCTTTATTGTTATACAAATACTCATATATATCTTTATTTTAATGAAAAAAATATTTTTAATTTTTTTTTTTTTTTTTAAAAACACAAGTAGGGGTATATTTACTCCTTTTCACATGTTTTTTTTATAATTTTTATTCATGGATTAATTTTAATTTATTATTTTGATTTTTGATGATCAAATATATATATTTTCACTTATTATATTTTAAATTATTTTATTGATTCCCCAAATATTTTTTTTGCAAATATAAAATTAAATTATAAAATAGCCGGAAAAAATGAATTTTAATTTTTAATATTTTTCCATTCACACTTCATTCTTTTTATTTCTCTTATTTTTACACTAAAAAATCTAGAAAAAATAAATAAAATTGAAATTACATGGTTAAGCAAACATATACTAGTTAATTAGTCATCATAGCTATAGTCTTAGTTAATTATCACTCGCGACCAACATTCAATGATAATTACGTGGGTTGGGATTTCGAGTTTGTATAATTTGCGATACATTTGTATAAGATAATTTCGTATAATATAATTTGTGCAACTGTTTATTAAATATAACTTCAACTAGCTACAAAAATAACTTAGACTTCACTTTCAAAATTCAAACCATAATATGTTTGAAACAAAGTTATAAAGTGAGAAATATTGAAAATACCGCTAAACACTAGGTGTAAACTATTAGTTTTATCCTTACAAAAATATTTATTTATTTAACTAATTGAACTTAAATACACCCCGATCTTATAACATGAGTAAAATACACTCATAAAATCTAGCCAAGTTTATGAGTGTTTTCAACACTTCTCTCGATTTTTTATTAAGAGTTACATGGCATACAAGAGTTTGAGACCATTTATTATGTCTTGTGACAAATCGAGGGTGATCTGAATGTATTTAAATTTAGTTGGTTAAGTAAATAAATATTTTTAAAGTTATTAATAATTCAAAAATAAAATTAATAATTTGCATCAAATTTAAAAGTGTTTTCAACTGGGTAACGTTTTTCTATGCCACGCCATACTCCTTTCTTTGTGATCCTATGCACAAACACGTCAATCAATTGGTCAAACTGATCAACTCAAAACCAAAATATCCAGATAGCAAAAACCACAAACCGCCAACAGTTTTTTTCAATCCACCGGCTGCCGCCCCCTAGTCCCTTCCAATTCCTCACACTCCGTCTACTGACAACACTATAAATATTGATTCCCTTAACTTTCCTAAAATTACAAAATTGTGAGTTCTGAATTGAAAGGATGGCTGATGCAGCAGCAAAGGAACGCAAGATCTTGGTCGCCGTAGATGAGAGTGAAGAGAGCAGTTACGCCCTTTCATGGTGTATAGAGAACATAATCACCGGAAATTCCAATGATACCCTTATCCTTCTCTACTCAATACCACCTCGAGCTGTTTACTCTACCTTAGACGGAACAGGTGAGAAAGATGAAAAAACTTCAGTATGAGTATTTCATTATTATGTGATTAATTGAATTGGCGAGTTCTCGTAATTTTGTTGAAATCTCAGGGTATTTGTTTTCATCTGATATATTGGCGACCATGGAGAGGTACAGCAGTGAAGTTGCACAGTGTGTTATGGAGAAGGCGAAACGAGCCTGCGAGGCTTTGAATGGGGTTAGTTTTTTTAGATTTGCTGATGAATGAAGGGTAAATTGGTCAATTTTAGTAGAGAGGTAATGCTTGTGTGTTGCTGCGTTGTATACAGGTTAAGGTGGAGACGATAGTAGAGCATGGTGATGCAAGGGACGTGATCTGTCAGGCGGCGGAGAAGTTACATGTCGACATGCTCGTCATGGGAAGCCATGGATATGGTGTCATCAAGAGGTAAGACTTAGTTCAATTATTTTTTTTCGCCAAGTGTCTAATACCCGTATTTAGATTAAATTTGGATTCATGCCGGAAAGTTATATTAGGTAATGAGGTAAAACACTTCCTAATCACAGTGAGTTCATTTTCAGGTGAGATTCATAGACATGTGTACATTTTAATTAGATTGAAGGCTAGATATATTTAGTCAAAAATCATTACGATGAAAATCAAGATTTGTCAAGAGCACAAATTTTCCTCAATTTATTATGGTTAATTATGTATAGCATGCTAAAAATGGTACTAGAGTTTTGTCCTCCTTTTTTAGAGCTAGTTACAAAAAGAGCCTCGTATAAAATGATTGGATCATTATTTATTGTCCTAATTTGTTTGGTACAAATTTTAACAGATAGATTTGTTATTCATAGTTATAGTATGGAATTTCCCAAGATTTTCATAGTTACGTAAGGATTTTTCCATGATTATGTAATGGTGTCTTGTTTATATGTAGCAAATGAGCGGGTTGAGCTGAATTTGGGTTGGTCAAAATGGATTGAGTTAATAAATAAACAGATTATTGTCCCACCCAAAATTACATGCGTTAAAATGGGCTAAAATAGGAGTTATAACTCAACAAATTCTCACTAACTTTTAATTGTTTTATTTATTCTTTTACAATGTTTTAGTATCTTGTGATTTTTTTTGTTATCATAAGAAAATGTTTTTTTGAATTTCTTTTTACATGCATGAATCAGTTTGTAATAAATGGGCAAATCCAACTTCGGATGAACTGGGGGCTATGATTTCATCAACTAATTTTATCATCTCTACTGACTGTGTCTATTTATGGAGTAATTAATTAATTGTTGATATGAATAACAGGGCATTTCTTGGGAGTGTGAGCAACCACTGCGCGCAGAATGTGAAGTGTCCAGTTCTAATTGTGAAAAAGCCAAAAACTGATGGCAGAAGGAAATAGATTTGTTGTACGTTATGGAGTTTGTAATTGTTCGTCCAATGTAAATTAAATAGGCAGGGTGCTGTGATTTTGTGGTGTTTTTTTTTTTCCTTTTTCCTTGATTTATGTACCTTTTGAATTAAACTTGCTTAATAATTGTATGATTGCTTTTCATATGTTAGAGGCAACATATTAAATTTCTATTTTTGTGTAATAACCACAAAATCTACAGTTATGGTAGTAGAGTTGTTGATACTTAGTTATTGTTGTCATCCCTCATTGCAGAAGGTCATCAAACGTTATACCTATAGTTATAGATTATCAGGCTGGACTTCTCTCTGAATAGAGTCCATCCGTAGTTAGCTTCAAGAAAGATTTGCAGAATCTTACTTGTAAGGTTGTCATGTTGCAAGACAATGTTACGCCACCACATCTTCCTCCTTTTGATTATGCTTTTTCGAAACCATTACACGGCAAACGTTTACATGAAGTGCTTAGACACTTGTATCTGAGAATCGAGACAGTCCAATCCAACTCAATGACATTGTGATACCTCATGGTAAAAAAAAGAGTAATAGCAAGGACTTTAAAGGAAAGAATGCGTACTGCGCATGTGCCTCCTTCCAAAAGAAAGGAGCAGATATGTTGATGTTTGTGAGAGCCGGCCTACGAAAAAGTTTACAAATCTTTGAATGACATGAAGAAAGTTGAAACTGACAAAACCTATGACATTACTAATTTTTGCAAATAAACGTAGTAAATTTTGATTTTTTTTTTCCTGCATAAATAGGTTGCAATATTTGTAACTGTAGATACCAGTTATGGGCCGGAAACAAGCAACAAAGCTAAGGGAGGAGAAAAATGGAGCTTAACTCATTTTTTCCCTTTCTATTAGTCAGGTTTATGTAAACTTAAGAGTTATTAAAGCTAATACGTTACGTTTATATAAATCCGAATCATTATTTCTGGATAGGATATACTCAACAGAGGAATAAATCTTAAAGATAACAGTGAGCATCCAATTTTACTGGTCAAGTTGTAACAGAGCTCGAAGAGTTTTCAATGTTACACTTGATTAACAGATTTAATCTTCTCAGGTGCTTCAAGCAATAAAATACGGTAAATAATCGAGACAAGGAGCCATTTAAATAGAAAATTAGGTAGAAATTAACTAGTGTAATTTCAACACCATTTAGTTTAAAATTCTAGTCAAAACCAAACATGTATTCCTATTGGCCGAGTCCCAATGACATCAAAGCAATCAGCCATATAAGACCTCATGCACCCTCAATCTCCGTCTTTTCACTAAAATTGGGAAGGGGCTAATTCACTAATAAGGAAAAAAAAAAAGGGGGGGGGGGGGGGGGGGGGGGGAGTT